TTGACATTGTAGTATTATAAAGTACCTGCAGAAAAAGGGATTAGCCTCTAAGGACAATCAGGCTGACATGGTTGTTACATTAGGGAAGGATGATCCAGTTTTATCAAGAGTTCAAAAATAGGCAACAGAATTTAGGAGAGGCAGATTTTTGAAGATAACCTAAGGTCTAGATATCCTGCAAATACCATCACTAAGGAAAATATTGTGTTCACTACATGGTGACTGATGACAGACAACTGACTATAAATCAAATAACCAGTGCTATTAGCATATCCCATGAGAGAGATGTGAATATACTACAAAATGAAATTGTCATAACGAAGGTTTCTGCTCTGTGGGTGCCACATCTTTTGGCACCTGCTCAAAAGCAACTCAGGCTGATCGCATTACAAAAAAAATCTGACGTTGTTTGAGTCAAATCCAGATGGTTTTCAATGAACATTTCCTAACCCAGGATGATTGTTGGGTTCATCAAATTTAAGCCAGAGACAAAGAGACAACCCATACAGTGGAAATATCCCTCCACACTTTCTCCAAAGAAGGCCAAGGTCATTTTATCTGCAGGGAAGGTGATGGCCTCAGATTTTGGAGATGTAAAAGACACTGTGTTTATTGACTATCTTCAAAAGAGCCACACCATCAATGGTTTTTTGATGTCAATGAACACTCGTTGCCACTTTCATAATGCTCATTGTAGTAGAGACTTTGTAATCACAGATACAATTGTAGTAATGCCGTTGAACAATACTGGTGTCAAACACCTTCGATTAACACTCACACTAATAGTACTGATAATACTCGCTTGAAAAGTAGCCACTAAATATTAATCTGTATAGTGATCACTTAGATACCATGCTAATTCCCATATATACATTTCCTTTACCATCACATGATCTACTTATTCAAAATGGGACTGCCTGTGTTTTCTCTCTGGTGATCTGTGTTCAAACTCCAGTATTGGCAGCAACACTTTATTCCTATATAACAAATAGAGAGTACTATGCCAACTTGCAGAGGTAGTTACATAAGACTATCAAGACAAGACACCCAGAAAAAACTGATAAAAAGGGTCTTGTTTTATCAGTTGGTTGATTAACTTGATTTGGCCCCATCTGATTGTTATTACTTCCCCAACATGAAAAAAAAAAAAAACTTGGGAACCAGTATCACAGTGTTGATGACCTTTTTTGAAAAACAGGATGAAAGCTTCTTCACCAATGGGATTCAATCACTGCAACACCAATGGAAGAAGTGCATGAATCACAAGAGAGACTTTGTTGAAAAATAAACCTTGCTTAGCTTAGTCACATTCCATGAGACTATCTTGGTCAATCTATGAACTTTTCAGCCAACCCTCCTATATATATATATATATATATATATATATATATATATATATATATATATATATATTTGTCAATATCCAAGATCTTATGCATACAATGGAATTTTTGGAATATCTCCCCATGTTTAATTGAGAAGGGACTACTTTAATCTGCAAATAATACAATAATACACTGCAAATAATACAGTTTTCAAAACTATTCTTTGTTTAAATTACAGTTCTCAAGGCATTAATAACTGGTAAGCAGTACTGGATTAAATAATGTTTATATGTTGGCACCATTATTTCAACTTACATTATATTGAGGTTGTTAAATCTATTTTATCTCTTTAGGGTCATTTTCCTCATATTTTCTGGGTTTGTTTGTGTTGATAGAAGTTAAATATTTACCTGTTTTACAAGCTCTGTCACTAGGCTAATAAATAATTTATGATTTATATATGTTTTTTAATCTATGCTCTGTTTATAACATATGCTACAGGCCTCACACTGGCTGAATCCTGCTGGTAAGATGTAACATAGTTGTTGTCATATAAGATATATATTAAAAATTAATTGTGAATATTATAATGCATCCAATATGCTAGCATTTATGATAAAGGAGACATCTATGAAAGCTCAAAATGGACTGTTATGAAGCTTGGATAAGCTGCAGTGAGATGTAGTCTCTCAAATACTCTTAGAAACGCATATGTCTTACAGTACTTGATAAGATACAGAATATTATCTAATGATATTGTCAAGAAATGTTGTTCATTAAATGTTCTTTGATAGCAGTGAATAAAAATATCAAACACTATAGGTTTGTGTTAGAAAGAAAAAAATTTTAAAAAATGAAAGATCTGTGTCATTCATTGGAAAGAGTTATCTGATAACCAAGTCAATCATAGTTATTTGAGACGGTTGAAATGCCTTGCAAAGTTAAGTGTGTCTGGTTAATGCAAAAGAGTATTTTTCCATTATATAATTTATCTCCTAGGGTATTTGATGCCCGCTAGCAGACACCAAAAAGATGGATTGACTTTTGGTGAGATAATGTCACATGGCAGATACAAAACTAGTAATTATTCATTGCTACCAGACATATGTTCAACATCTGGAAGAGATTGGCTTCACAAGGCATACATACATCAACTCAGAATTTATAGACTGAAAAACTACCATGGAAACAATAAGACAAGCATTTGTTTTTAAGAAAACAAAAATAATGTTGTTTATTATAAATTTGTGACTATTTGTTTTTTCATATTAACTTCTGTTACTTTTTATCACACTAGTAGTGTTAGATGAAATAATAATTGAATTTCTAAGTTGAAACCATGTCAATTATCATCAATTTTTAATCAGTATCTATTTCTACAGATGTGAGGATAGTGTGACAGATATCAATGTAGAATGTGGAATTGGCAAATGGAGTTCAAATTTTGGGCTAGTCTGTTGCATTCACTTTCATACAAATATCCTTGAAGAAAGCATGAATACATCTCTTCTATAGGTTAAATAGCAAGGTAGACTGGGCCTTGAGTGGAAACCAGCCCAAGAGAAGGAAAACTTTGAATTCTTAACTGCTGAGAAGGCAACAGGAAACCATTCCATTATCATCCCCCCAAGAAGTAATAACAAATAAAGCAAAAGTATATGTGGAGAAGGCAATGGGAAACCATTCCATTATCATCCCCCCAAGAAGACATAACAATTCCCAGACAATAAAGAAAAGGAATCTGTGTAGAGTTAGGATTGTCTATGGCATGAATAGACATGACGTTAAAAAAAGAAAAATCTATTTTTTTGCTTTTTATTACATTAGTACTTGTTAGATAAAACAATGTTCAAATTAGATAAATCATTATCAATTATCATTTATTTTTGACAAGCATTTCTTTCATCTTATTCCTGTTTCTATATTTGGAGGAGGAGTATTTTTTAAAACTATTACTATTAATACTACTACAGTATTTAAAAAAATGTTGATGTACGAGGTGATTGAAGAAAATAAGAAATAGTGATAAAAAAATGTGATTTGAATAATTACAACCAAAAGTTCTCCATAGACTCATCAGTAAATCCGTGTTGTGTCAAGACAGGTTTTCCAAGGAAAAGGATACAAGTTCAAGTCTTGCTAGAACTTACTGACAATCATATAATGAAAGTGTTGCAATAAAAAACAACTAAAATTACCCCCCACCCCCCAAAAAAGACGACCAGTTGAAAAATTAATAAGGTGATATTAATTTGGATCAGAGTCAGTAAAAGTGGAGTTCTCAGGATGAAATTCAATTTTGTTGTTGGGTTAACTTGCCTTCGTCTTCACCAATTAGTATACACTGCATTTGTGACCAATTAACGAAAGCCTCTAGATAGAAAGGACAGTCATCACTAAGAGATGATTCATTGCAGATGCATGGGTAGACATATGCTTAATGCCATATGATGTGCTAGACTTGTAAGTAAAGACAGCTTTGGTAATGTCTATCTTTCCTTTACACGGTTGGAAAGAAGCCACATAACACATTTCTACACTTTGTTAGCATGCTCTCCTTCTAGAAAATAATAAATGAATTTATATTCTTCCAGTTTCTCCTCAGATATTTTTTGTTTTGTGGGTAATTATTGGCTTCCTACAGCCAGATACTATCAAAGTTGCACAATGTATATTTGCTAGACCTATACAGAGGTAGATTTCATTTTTATCATTTCACTGCAAGCAAGGAAATAAAGCCCCTAAGATGCAAGGGTTTACTGAGTGCGAAAGAATAAGAGAAAAAGAAAAACATACGATTGGCTATCTAACAAGTACCAAATTGTTTGCAAGACTGTCATAGAAAAGCCGCATTTGACCATGGGAACCATAAAATTTATAAAGTTGGGGTACCAAGTGGGGACAGGATTTTAGGCCCTCTGAACACACATTCACTGGCACAGTATGTACAGTTTTGGTTTGATTCAAATGAAATTTTACGACAACACTTGCGGCTTACTATCGCCTTTATGTGTGTCAAATTTCAAAATTTTTCGAAAAAAATAACCGTAGCTGTAAACGCGGATCAATTTTTTTGTAACAAAATTGGCAATTTTGAAGAGACATTAAACAGCTGCATGTAACAACCAAAAAGTCCGCGTGTCGATACCGAGACTGCTGCAAGCCCATTGGTCGCTTTCACCCAGGTTTGACCTTGGGGCCTGTCCAATCATCGCGCAGGATTTCTCACACGTTATAGCGCCCGCGTGATCGCGCGTCAGCTTATGTGTAAGTGCGCTCAAGGTCAACCACCTCTATTGTGTGACTCGGGCGTGCTTTCACACTTTTGCGTTTATTGTTGCCCGCGTGCACGCGCTTGGCTTACTTTATTCGCCTACTTCGGACACCGCAAGTTGTTGATTACGTGTTCTAGCTGCTTTTTTGTTTTATAGTTCCAACCCCACCCCACACACGTTAGCCAATTGTACTAAAAACCCATTTCCTTTTGGATTTACCCTTGGTTTACCTTTTTAAATTTCCACTTTTTTAGTTTCGAGTTCCCCTTTAGTAACATCTGAACTCATTTTACTGGGTGTTTCCCTTTTTGTGTCTACGTTAGCAGTGCACGTTTTTTCGTTTTGGATTTGTCAGAATCTCTTTTTAAGATTTACCCTCTTTGACGTTTTTACTGTTTGGATGCCACCTAAAAGGAGGAAACTTTTGGGACGGCGCACGGCAGCTGCCTCCGCTGCTAGAGCAGCGAGGGCGAGTGAAACCCCTGAACAGACTTCTTTGCGTCTTTCACGGATGGCCTCGAGCTCAGCTGCTGCTCGCTTATCTACGGAAAGCGCCGCTGCGCGGACTGAAAGGTTGGCTTCAGCGGCTTCAACCATGTCTGCACGCCGCGCCAGGCTTTCAGTTGAAGAACGTTCACTTCAGAATTCACAGGACGCGTGGCTAGGTTGAGGGCTTCACAGTCCCCAGCACACAAAAAACCCTTCGTCGTTTGCGTGATGCCACCGCCAAAGCTTGCTCCAGGGGTTTAGAAAGCCCCGAACAAACAACTTCACGTCGTCTAAGGAATACTAGGGCTACAGCCGCCTCTAGAGCTTCGGAACAACCCCAAGAAACCGCTCATCGTCGCTTTAGAAATGCCCTATCCACCGCGTCTGCCAGAGCCTTAGAAAGCCCTGCACAGACCACTGTTCGTCGCTTTAGAAATGCCCTCTCCACTGCATCTGCTAGAGCCCTAGAAAGCCCTGCACAGACCACTGTTCATCGCATTAGTAATGCCTGCTCTACTGTGTCTGCCAGAGCCCTAGAAAGCCCTGCACCAACCACTGTTCGTCGTGTTAGAAATGCCGCTCTACTGCGTCTGCCAGGGCTGCAGAAAACTCTGAAGTACGCCGTCAACGGCTCTCGAAAAACATTAGCAACTTCGAGCTTCTTTGAATGGCGTAAATTCGCCGTCTGCGTCATTTTGGTCAAATGCCGCATACAATTATGACTGCACTGTCAACTATTCCGCTAGGAGAGACGTACAAATAGGGGCCATGGATAAAGTTTGCACTTTTTGCAACGCAAAAAAAGTGGACCGGTGAGCAACCTGGGCTTTGTTGCTCTGGGGGCAAAATCAAACTCTCTTCTTTAGACGAACCTCCCCAGCCGCTTAGGGACCTCCTTCTGGGTACAACTTCGGAGTCAACGCATTTTCTTGAAGCAATACGGAAGTACAACTGTTGCTTCCAGATGACATTTTTTGGTGCGAAGGCTATTAGTGAGGGGGATGGATGCGTACTTTCAAAGTGCAAGGCCAGGTTTACAACTTAATGGGATCACTTTTGGCTGATCAGGGAGAGCCGCCTCAGTTCCTACAAATTTACTTTCTCGCTGACTACAACGAGCAGGTCGATGCGCGTCTCGGCATTCTGCCTAGCGATATCTCCGTCCGTCCCCGTAGAGACATTCTGTTCCGTCTACAAGACATGCTTCACGAAACTAACAGTTACATCCGAAGCTTAAAGTTTGCGTTGCAAAACAACTCTTCGTCCTCTTTCAGCGTTGTCATCGATGCAGACAGACGGCCTCACGGTGAGCATGAGCGTCGCTTCAATGCTCCTGCATGTAATGAAGTCGCCGCAGTCATCCACGGTGAGGAGCATAACAGCCGTGACATTGTCATAAGGTACCGGGGCGGTGGTCTGCACAGCATCAGTGAAACCCACCGTTCATACAACTGTCTCCAGTACCCACTTCTTTTTCCATACGGAAGCGATGGGTACCACTTCAAAATCCCAATATACCAGGCAAGCAGCGATTCCATGTCGACCTCAAAGACGGTCTCCTGTAGGGCTTACTACGCCTACATGTTTATGGTTAGGGAGGGTGAATTTAACCACTTGCACAGGTGCCGTCAACTATTTCTTCAATTCGCTGTTGACATGGCTGCAAAAATGGAGTCGGAGAGGTTAGGATTCATCAAGTTAAACCAATCCAAACTTAGAACCGACTCCTACATTCACGTTCGTGATGGTCTGCGTTTTGATGGTGACCCATGCAATCTCGGCAAACCGTGCATTTTGCCTTCCACACTGGTGGCCCTCGATACATGCATGAAAGGACACAAGACACAATGACCTATGTCCGTCATTACGGGAGGCCTGATTTGTTCATCACGTTCACGTGCAATCCAAAATGGGTTGAAATCACACACGAACTTTTCCCAGGTCAGCAGTACTCACACCGCCCTGACCTAATTGCCCGCATTTCTCGGTTACATCTGTGTAAGCTTATGGATTTAATCCTTAAAGGGCAAGTCTTCGGACACGTTAAGTGTCATATGTATACAGTGGAATCGCAGAAATGCGGTTTGCCTCATGCCCACATTCTGCTGTGGCTCAACGATAAGGTTGACGTAAACAAAATAGACAAATTTATTTCTGCTGAAATTCTGGATCCTGCAATGGATACTTTGCTCCACAAAATCATTAAAAACAATATGATACACAGCCCCTGTGGCGCGTATTATGAAAAAAAGGTCATGTTGATCAAGCGGCCCCACTTGCGCAAAGGGTTACGCAGACTGCGACGGATGGTTACCCACTGTACAGATGTAGAAACCCCACTGAGGGCGGCAGAACTGTGACAGTTAAGGAGCACAGTCTGGACAATCATTTGGTGGTGCCTTATTTCCCGCTGCTGTCCAAGACTTTTGGAGCCCACATAAACGTTGAATACTGCCACTCGGTTAAGTCAATAAAGTACATCTGCAAGTACGTTAATAAAGGCAGCGATGCTGCCGTTTTCGGTATCCGGCGCGACAATTGCGTTGACGAGGTGGCCGATTACGTGGCTGGACGCTACCTCAGCAGTAGCGAGGCCTTTTGGCGAATTTTCGGATTCCCCATACACCAAAGGGCTCCAGCCATTGTGCAGCTTGCTGTTCACTTAGAAAATGGACAGAGGATGTACTTCACCGAACAAAACGCCCAGCAGGTTGCGGAAAACCCTAAAGACACAACCCTAACGGCTTTCTTTAAATTATGCTCAACAGATGCTTTTGCCAAAACATTGATATACCCCCAAGTCCCGTCCTACTACGTGTGGTCAAACAACCGGTGGGTTCGGCGAAAGGCTGGCGACCCTGTCGAGGGTTATCCCGATGTAAAGGTCTAACTCTTGCCTTGGACGCGTTTATACTGCCCCCCCCAGCCAGCAGGAGTGCTTTTACCTCCGCCTTCTACTTCATGAAATTGCAGGGCCAACGAGTTTCACAGATATTCGCACTGTCAACGGCATAGAGTGCCAGTCTTATAGAGAGGCATGCTTCCGTTTGGGATTGCTTGAAGACGACTCCCAATGGGATGCAGCCATGGCGGAGGGTGAACTTCTCAGAACGCCATCACGGCTTCGAACGCTGTTCGCCATTTTGCTTTTGCGATGCGAACTAAGCGATCCTCTGTCGCTCTGGCTAAAGTACAGAGAATCCATGTCAGAGGATGTGCTGTTCTCCGTTCAGCGTAACAGCCCAGGAGTTGAATGCGGTTTCACTGACTTCATATTCAACAGAGCGCTGGTGGCCCTAGAAGATGTTGTTTTCGAACTGGGAGGTGCCTCTTTACCAACTTACGGTTTACCACCACCGCTCAGAGACGGTTTTGACACTGTACCAACTGAGTTATTGCGGGAAACATCCTACTCCATCGAGGGGCTGAACGCATACATTACCGAAAACGAGCCCAAACTTCTACCTGATCAGAGGGTTGCTTTCACTACCATAACAGACAGGGCAAACGGCTCCAGTGGAGGTATATACTTTTTAGATGCGCCCGGAGGAACTGGCAAAACTTTTGTTACCAAATTAGTCCTGGCAGAGGTACGGCGTCGTGGGGAGATCGCTATTGCGGTCGCATCTTCCGGGATTGCTGCAACGTTGCTACCGGGAGGTAGAACCGCTCATTCGCTTTTTAGGTTGCCGCTTGATCTATGCCGGTCACAAACTCCTCTCTGCAACATAACAAAGAATTCGCCACAGGCTGAAGTTCTGCGGAGATGCAAACTTATAGTTTGGGATGAGTGCACGATGGCACACAAGGGCGCACTTGAGGCACTTGACCAAAAGCTCCAAGACATCCGCGACTCCTCTGACCCCATGGGTGGAGTAACCCTTCTCCTCGCAGGCGACTTTAGACAGACTCTACCTGTTATTCCTAAAGGTACACGCGCTGATGCTGTCCGCGCCTGCCTGAAGTTGTCTGCCCTTTGTCGCCACGTGGAGACTCTTAAACTGAGCATGAACATGCGTGCCTACTTGAATGGGGACTCCAGATCCGCTGACTTCGCACGGGACCTTCTTGCTCTTGGGGAGGGGAAAATGTCATCTGACACACACGGTTTTGTGAAGACGGATCAGCTTGCCACCACTGTTGAATCACCGGATGAATTGATGAATGCAGTCTTCTACAACCTATCCACTAATTTTGCCGATGCCGATTGGCTTGCTGGGGAGGGGGGGCCATATTGGCACCGAAGAACTGTACAGTTGATTCCATCAACCTTAAACTGTTGGATTGCATTCCCGGGCAATGTCATGTTTATAAGTCCATCGACAGAACTTCCGATCCATCTGAATTAGCTGAGTATCCCATAGAAGTTTTGAACTCCCTTCAGCCGTCCGGACTCCCCACCTCATATTCTTCGGCTCAAAGTTGGTGCTCCGATTATGCTAATCAGGAATTTGCTCCCACCTAAACAGTGCAACGGGACTCGCCTCATTATTAAATCCCTTTCATTAACAGTTGATCAGAGCACCTGCAGTTGAGAAGCTTCAGTTCGTTTAATTAATACAAAAGTCGAGTGCCGAACCTGATTGAGGCGACCATTGCAACTGGCTGCTGCAAGGGGAAGTCGTTCTGATTCCCAGGATGCATCTTCTGCCGTCAGACGCAAGCATACCAATCAATTTTTCGTCGCTCACAATTTCCCGTGAAGCTTTGTTTTTGCTATGTCCATTAACAAATCACAAGGACAGACGCTTAGCATCGCAGGTCTGCATTTACGTGAGCAGTGCTTCTCTCACGGCCAACTTTACGTTGGGTGCTCACGAGTTGGGTCTAAGGACAGGGTTTTCATTTACAATCTCCCAACAACTGTGCTAGAAACATAACCTACACGGAGGTCCTACCATGACAACCCGCCCTGGTAGCGGTTTTAAGTTCTGCCATGCACACATATGCAGTCCGATTGCATGGCAAGCGGTTTTTTTGTTTGTCATATTGGTTTTTAACGTTAGGTCATCGTAGTCTCCGTTTTGCCATTACTAAGACATCTTTGTAAAGGTTATCCAGCTCTTTGCTGCCTTCTTCCAGTAATGAGTCCAATTGGTTTTCTGCCAGATTTTTACTCACATCATCATCATCACCTTCACCCGCCATCATCGCGTTTGTTTGTACACTATGATAACCTCACCGTATTCATTGGTTGTTCAACACAAAAGCTGCTTGACACATGAACAAGGGGCATTAGACATGATCACTAAATGGACTAAAGTTCCGGTTTCATTAACAGGTTTTGATCAGAGCACCTTGCAGTTCCATCCAGTGCATAGAACCAAGTCTGACCTGCTATTTCCCATAGCTTGAGAAGGATTCACACCTTTCCAAGGGAGTTCGTTTAATTGTCACTGGAAAAGCTCTCCGATTCCTCAATCCAATTGCTATCCATTACTTGCCTCCTCACAGATGTCTTAGTAATAGAAAATTACTGGCTACAATGGCTTTGAAACATCCTTCGATACCTTTGAATACTTGGGCCTGCATGATGTCTGCTTAAACTTTGTTTTGTTTCAACGTTTTGTAGAAAAAAACTAAAAGCACATGTTTCAAAGCAACAGCCTTCCCCGGTCTGTTTCCCCGGCAACGCTGGCTCTCAGCTAGTAGTCAATATATGTTGTAATATATTCAATATTAAGCTTTATCACAGAACTTTGCAGTTGTACACTTGGTCAAA